TAGCTTTAGTATCACCCAATAAAGTTATTTTGCAATTGAAGATGCCCACTTCCTTCATTTTTGGATAAAAACAAGAGGATGTGACACCACTGCAGTTACGCAGACTACCAGGTAGTTCTTATCCAAAATCAGGTTCAGGGCCTCCCACTGTGCCCAGAAAGATGGGGAGCTCAGATGGTCAGAGCAAACCCTTCTCAAGGCTCCACTGGGAAATAACAGTGCAAATCTGTGTATCAGGTATGAGAGTGGGAGCTTATGTTATAAATAAATTTTGATGGGTGTTTGCTTGCTGCCTTCCCATACAGTTTTTTTATATTTCTTATGTACATTGTCTGATATTACATGCTTATAAAATGTCAGTTTTTTAATAAAAGACCACCTGTTTGCTTCCTTTTAACACTCCTGCAATATTCAAAGCCATATAAAACTCTGTGGGTACTTCTGTTAGTTTAAATAAGATGGGCCAAAGCCAGCCTGTACTGCTCACACCAGATTTCTTATATGAGCTGGGACTGTGACAATGTGTGCAGAGTAATTGAGGATAGGATGCCAAATAGCTGTAGCTGATTTCTTTCTCCCACCAAAGCTTTTCCTGTTTGATCTGCCTGGCTGCCTGCTGGCTGGGGTGCGTGCGTGTGTGAGCAGAGGTAAAGAGGTAAGGGAAGTGCTTTCTGCACATCAGTCACGAGAAAGCTCTTTGTCTTCTTTTCTGAAATAAAAAAAAATTGTAGCAGGAACTTCATTCAGCTGCTCATTTGGATAAATCCAGACACCCTGGTGTCTAGTGAATAGGAAGCAATGGGAGGTCAGTGTGTCTCAGTGCCATGGGAGGAGAGGATGGCCCGAACTCCACAGCAATCAGAGCGCAAATGTGTCATAGAATCGTTTGGGCTGGGAAGGACCCCTAAAGGTCATCTAGTCCAACTGCCCTGCAGTGAACAGGGTATATACACATACAGACTGCTGATATCTATCGCTGTCTAGAACGTGTGTATGATGTATGCACATGTGTAAGACTACTGTCATGCAGTGAAAGTAGCACCTTCCATTCACTGAACTGAGAAAGAAGAAATTCAAATTAAAACCCCTCCAAAATTACTTGAAACTATCCTGAATTACTAGGAAGGTAAAGCAATGGCCCAGCAGGGAGTGGAAAATGTAATAACGACAACTTTTATGCCTAAAGGGAAGGCAGGAATGAAATCAGTAAGATCCAGTGGGGCCAGGTGAGTAAAGAGTCAGCCAAGCAAGGAGTGTGAGATGCCCAGAGGCAGTGCAATGTGCTGGCAAGGAGCCACACTGCCAGGAGAGAGCAGAGGAGTGTGAGATGGAGGGAAAGGAAAGGAAGAGAGACAGCACAGCTTTGTGGGCAACAGAGAAGTCTTCTGGTAGCCCCTTGGTGCTGTATGCAGGTGCAGGAGGCACATGAAGGCAGGAGTCCACAGAAGGCTGCTGCAAGGCTGCAAATATCATAAGCTTACAATAGGAGAAAGGCAGGGAGAGCTTGGTTGGGGCAGGCAGCACTGAAACTGACTGTGGCTGTCTCATTTCCATCAGCCCATGAAAGGCAACTTGAGAAGCAAGGTTTATGTTTGCCCTTGGCTGTTTCATAGGGGATTCGTTAAAGGGAATAAACTGGCAGTAGGTTCAGATGGATGTGGCTACAGGGACAAAAGCTGAATATGATGTACTCAAAAATGACATTTGCCTGTTGTCAAGCAGATGTGGTCTGCTGGGACCTGTTGCTTTGGCAGAAGGTTGGTGGGCACTGCAGGGAGGGTGAATGTAGCAGTACATGATCAAACCTCCACCACAGCCACCAAACTGCAAACCAGGCCCAAGCAATCCCTTACTCAGGGAGATGAAATGTTTTAAGGGATGTTATCAGAAGACAGCTGAGCATTTCTGGGTTCCTGGGGTGAATTCGCAGCTCTGGCAGAGTCTCTAAGCTGTTCTTGGCAGCCTGGCCTATGTAGAACCACAGATACTCAGGCCATAAAAACTTGACTCTTCCATCTCAACACTGCCTGATCTTTTTCTCACTCCTTTTGCATCAGCTTTTTAAAAACCCCAGTGGTTACAAGGTGTTGCTGTGGCTGTCTGTTCCCAGTGAGCTAGGAAATGTGCAAAGGCAATGAGAATGATCTTCATCCCCTTTACAAAGCCCTGGCTGGTCCTCACTTACGGCCAAGAGATTTTTCTTCCCATTCTTCCCAGATGGAGCACATGATCTGCTGGAGGCAGCTCAGAACCATCAGCTGGCCTGGGTTTGCTTGGAAAGAGGGTAGTAGAACAGGGCTGAGGGGAATTAACAGGTTTTAGGGGTCGGTGTGGCTGCTTAGGATGCCATTGTAGGCATAGCCAGAGCCGTTTCTTGGATTTTATGGCATTTTGTTCTCTGATCACAGATAGCCCAGAGATCTGCAGAGCAGGTTGATTGAAGGCCTTAGGACATGTCAAGGGGAACAAGAACAGGACAGAGTGCCAGCATGCTGGGCAAATGGCAGGAAGCCTGGCTTTATCAGGATGCTGCAGGCAGGAAATGATTTGAAGTACACAGCCTTTTCTTGTAGTGTGATTGAGGGAAGGGAGGAGAGCAAAAGCAGGAACAGCTGTGGCTGTATTTCAAAGTTGGTTTCCATCTTCTCTCCAGTGTTACTGCTTTTGCTTTCCCTATCAAGAAAACAAACAAACACAAAACCAACAGAAACTGCTAGACATTTCTAGTTGCAGTGATTCTCTTTCTTCCTTTCCTGCTACTTTTAAGGCTGTTGGCCAATATCAGAAATATCCAGAGAGGGTTGTTTGGAAGCTGAGATCACCTCTATCTCTGGTTCTTATGGACAGTCAGGTTGTCCTCCCTCCACATTGCTACCCAGGATGGCCAGCTGAAAAGTTGGCTTGGGTGGTTAAAATGCAGACACATGCTCTGCACCAGAGATGACAAACCCTTGGCTTTCTTCACTTTCCTTTTCCAGCCTCTCCCCTGCCTGCCTTCCTTCTGCAGTAATGTGGGAACTTTTTCTTGGCTGTCCTCTTCCCCTTGGAGATCAAACACCAGGCTCTACTGCTGAGCTCCTGAATTTATGACAAGTACCAGCTTCTTCCAGCCTCAGTTTCCATTAAATGTGTACTCACAGGAGCTGTATTGGGACCATTTGTTTTGTCTTTTGGCACTAGCTCTTTTACAAATGAGAACCATAGCAAAGGGCAAACAGTCAAAAAACTGGCGAGGCAGAAGTACAAGTGTTTCACTGCTCTGTTTCTGATGGGAAAGTCTTTGTAGCCCCTAGGCCTGACGTTAAAACTTACAAACTCCTACACTTGTAGCTGTTGTGTAAAAAGCTGTTATTGCCCTTAAAACTAGTCACTGGAGTTGAAAGATAAATATTATTCTATATCTTATTGAATAAAATATATTATATCACAGGTGATGGAGACAGATTGTCTCAATAAATTCTGATACTGTATTCGGAGGAAAAGTGGCAATAAAAATGCTGATGACTTGACACAGGGAGAATATTGAATGTCATTAACATGTTATTTCCTCTCTTCTGATATCACTGTCATGTTCTTCCCACTGTTATAATCTCTATCAGTTGTGGAGTTTTTTTTTATTTTTTTCATTTTGCTTGTTTGAATGAGAAAAATGACTTTTTTTCAGTCTTTTATATTACTCACTACTTGAGAAATGATTACAGATATGAGGTCACATCCTCAAATATAGAAATTAAAACGAGGTTTGATATTTAACAGTACTCTATGCATGGGCTCAAGAGAAACCCTCAAGACTGTCACTATCATCTGATAGGTGATTATGACAAAGTCACAGCCATCTGCATGGTAATAACAGCAATATCTTGCTGTTACAAAATGCTCTGAAAGCTCTTAATGAAGGTAGTTGACACTGTTCATTTAGTGATGGGGGAAGCGGAGAGCTGGGAGGCAAAGCGAGCCACCCAAGGTCATTTGGTGGTCCAGTGGCACAGCCAGATTCCTGCAGTGTGCTCTGCCTCTACCAAGTGAAGATGTATTGTCCTACAACTGCAATGGAACTTGATTTATTGCACACTGCAACCACTTTTCCCAGCTCATGTCGAACTATACCTGTTAGAGCCACAGCCCAGCAAATTTTCAGTCATTCTTTCTAAAGATACTTGTGGTTTTATCTCCTGCTCCTGTCTAGATCTGGGCTCTCTCTGTAAATACGTATGTTTCACAGTGAGGTTTGCGTAGCTGGGAACGTATTTGTGTGTAGTTATGGAATGAGCTTCTAGGAAAACAGCAGTAAGCCTGTCTTCATCCCTTTTACCCATAGTAGAATAAAGCCACCATTTTTCAGAAAGCCTGAATCTGCCCAGATATTCCCATTCTGTCGCTCTGTGCCAGGAAGCCTGTTGTGATAGCCCTACGGGTAACTGAGATCAGCTTGTACCAAAGAGCGTTTGGATCACGTGGGTTGTTTGGCATCCTCGTGAGAGAATATGCTGCTGGCCTTGAATGATAGCAATTAAAGGTGCAAAGAAGTCGTCTGCCTATTTGCTAGAGCCAATATCCAGGCTGGTTTCCTACTGTAATCTTGTATTTTATCCACAGCTAATTGTGAACGACTCCAGGAATACCCACCGCTTCCATTACAGGACTGTTTCATGCACTGTTATAGTTTGTTGTCAGATAGTTTTCAGCAATTAAATTCTAAATTGATTTCACAGTTGCAGATGCTGCTTTTGTTATTTATTTTGGTCCTCACCTGTCCAAAGGAATGGCGTGCCTCGGTCTCTTCACAAATAGACACTGCTGCTTGGTTGAACGGATTATTTTAAGAGCCTGAAAAACAGATTTTTACCTAGAAATAGTATGTCAGACAGCTATAACAGAGTTTAATTCTCATGGAGCCTCAGAAATAATACTGATGGATTTTGAATAGGGAAGAAAAAACATAGATCTTTTGCTAAGTGCCACAGTTTCTACAGTTTTCTATTTGTCCTGGTGTCTTGCAGGAAGGAGCGTTATTTCTCAACATAGAACAAACAGAAGACAGAATTAACTCCATCTTATAGCTGCATTACCACCCTGCTATTCACTTCCTGACTTCAGCTCAAGTGCCTACAGGCCCTGTCCTGCTAAGGTAATGAGAACCTTTCTGATAAGGTAGATATGGGGCCAATAAACCATAAAAGCTTTATGCCTCAATTTACCCAGGTGTAAAATGGGAATAAAATTCCCCATGTTTTGGAAAGCACTATTGTAAAGGTAAGAGGAGCTAGCTGCTCTGTAAAGCTACAGACTAAAATACTATACAGGTGCTGAGTACAAAGCAGACCTCTAATAAAGTTCTCCTTTGCTCAGTTTGTCACCGTTTTTCTACCATGCATCCTGGCAGTGTGTAGCTTCCTTTTTTTCCCTCTCTTCTTTTTAACCTACGCTGGGACTTTTAGAAATAATTCACTTTTGAGCTGATGGTGTATGTCCTTCTTGCAGAAGGATTGGCTTTGGGACAGTTAATTCAGTGACAGGGAAAAAGAGATATTCGCACCATCTTGGCACCACATCATTATTAACATGCAAGCAATTCCCCCTTTTTTTCTTAACATATAAAGAGAACAATTGAATTTTGCGAGACAGGGCTCTTAATCTCCACGATCAGATTCTTCACGGCAAGGAGGGGGTGTAAAAGTTTCTCTCTTGCTCTGTCTCTTCATGGCACATGGTCCCAGCTGTATGACTCCGTTCATGAATATGCATGAAATCAGATATGACATTGCCCTGCTCCCATTAATAATCTTGTCATCTGACTTGTGCAGCATTAAGCTTCAGCCCGTGGCTCCTCATAGCGAATGCAGCCTGAAGGAGAGGGAGGGAGGGGAGGGGAAAAAAGGCCATGCCTTTTTTTATTGGGATTAAGTGCTTGAAAATTTTGGCAGAGGGTTGCCAGGAGAGTGAGGGGAGGGAGAGAAAGAGTGAGAGAAACACACAGGGACAGAGAGACGAGAAATCCTCGATGAATGCGTTGGCTTGTTAGGAGCCCGAAGCGGTGGGTGTAATGGTATGCGAGCTGACCTTGAATATAGCCACTGTGGGTTGCCCCAGCTTTTTTGTAAAAGAAGCATTTGCAGCAGAGGTTTGGATTTCAGGCTTTGCAGTCATCAATCATCTCAGCCTATTCTCCTCTTTGACAGCTCTGTACAAGGCCTGACATTTGACACCCAAGACCCCAGGACTTACACAGAGGCACAAGCGGAGGCCCTGGGGAAGAGGTAGGGAATGGGGAGAAAAAAAAAAAAACAAAAAACAAATCAGGAGAGACATTTGCCTTTTTTCTTTTTTTTCCTTTTTTTTTGTCTTTTTTTTTTTTTTTTTTTAAAGAAGCTACAAAACAAATTGTAACTGTAATAGGAATTGATTTAACAGAAGAAGATCGCATTGAGTTCTGCTCCCTGCTTTGCGCAGGTTGTGCTGATAAGGTTGATCTGAGGAGGTGGGAGAAGAAAGGAAGGCATGGAGATGTTTGGGGGAGCAAGATGGGGCTCATACCCTCAGTTCTGGGATTACCCACCTACCCAAGACATGTGCAGTTTTAATGCAGTTAACTTGCACTTGAGAACTTTTAGGCTGAGCGAGTGGACCAGTCATCTCCATGAGGGTCACAGAGCTGTTGGGGGACACAGGGAGAGCCAGGCTATGCCGAGGCCTGGTTGCCCAGACAAAATTTCAGCAAGCCTAGTTATGAAATTAAGTGAATGAGATGCATTTCTGGGACACTGGGACTCCAAAGGGCACCAACCAAAACCAAGTATCATTTCTTAAAGCAGAGAATTGTTTTTGGGTAAGCCTCTTTGTACAAGTAAGTGTTTACTTGGGCTGGTGGTTACAATTGTTGTGGTTTGGTGTTTCTAATGCAGATTTTTTCTTTTTTATCATACAAATGTTACAGCATCATTCTGACCCAAGAGACTTATTTCTTTTGTGAGTTCGACCTTCATTTTTATATTAGGAAATGAGGATGCCCAGCCTTGATTAAACCTCTTCTATCTACGCATTCTCCTATCTCTCAAACTCACTTGTAATTAATAATAAGAAAGTCAAGTCCTGTTGCAACTCCATGTGCTGTTAAACACACTGTTTGGTGATGCATTGGAACAAGCTGCCCAGGGAGGTGGTAGAGTCACCTTTCCTGGAGGTGTTCAAGAAGAAGTGGCACTGAGTGACATGGTTCAGTGGGAATGGATGTAATGGGTTAATGGTTGGACTGGGTGATCTCAATGGTCTTTCCAACCCTATTGATTCTGTGATTTTAAACTAGATTGCTTGTGAAAGCCATCCATGGCTTGCTGCTCCTCCCATCACAAGAAGGGAGCGATTTCAGGTGCTTCTTTTGCAGATGAGTTCAGACACAAGGGAATTCCTTGTGAGCAGGTGGAATTAAGGATGTGAGTGCAAGCAGGCAGGAAAGGACACAGCAAAACATTTTTCCTTGAGATTGAGCTCTGCAGTGGCACATAGCATATTTCAATGGGTTGGGAGGCAGGTGACTAAAACTCTGCCCTTTCTGCTAACTGTTGATTCAGCCCAGAAATCTGCATCCAGACGGTGAATTTTGCTGACACAGGAGGTCAAGTTAAATAGTCTGGATGATTTTCCAGGAATGTCAGACTGTTCCATTAGGAGAGCTTGGGTAACAGAATGGTTTATTTGAAAAAAAAAAGTCACACTTCCCTTCAGGAATTCTCCATACATTGCTTTTGATCTATGGTGCATTTCTTTTGTCTTTCACTTTGTGCCTTTGCTGTTTGCAAGCCTGTGATTTCACTGCCTGAGTCAACATGTGTGTCAGGCAACACCGTTTCTCTTTCCTGTGTGGATAACTGAGAGGTGTAGAAATAAATGAAAAGTTTGTGTACGTCAAATGTTTGGGGAAGTGTTTCCAGAGCATTTAACAAACTTTTGCTTTCCATAAACAAAACTGCTTGCTCAAATGAACCTTCCCGGAAAAGGGTCACACATGATGTCAAAGTGAATTAGCAGCTTTTTATGTGAATGAATGTTTGCAAACATTGTTCTGCGGTCCTGCTTCAAACTAGTAATCATAGTTGCAGCTCCACATTAGGAAAATCCTAGCTCACTCTATAGGACACACATTTACTGCCTGCAGGGGTTAGGATGAATATTTTTCCCTCCCCCAGCTACAGACTGAGCTAAATGCTCTGAGGACTTTGAGGGTTGCCTTCCTCTAAAGTATCAGGGTTTAGCCACTGCTGGAGGCGTGATACCAAACTTGATGGACCAACAGTCTGATTCAATATGGCAATGCCTCTGCTCCTTGTATTTTTCAAACTGGCTTCTGTGTGCACATGCCCAAGCGGATGATTTATCGCCTACTCAGATACGCTCTTGCATAGAGAAGGGCAGGATCAAACACATTTTCTGTGTTTGTGTGTGTATGTGCATATGTGTCTAGAGAGAGACAGATACGAAGCAGCCCATCAGGGCTGTTTTCTTTCTCCACTTTGAATTTAACCCAGTGTGTGACTCTACCTGTACCATACTGCTTTTCCATTTCCAACTTTCCATTCAATGATACATACATTTGTAGGCTTTTTACTTTTCCGGTTTGTGTTAGGGATAGAGGAAAGTATTAGAGGATATGTATCCATGCTTTGGATGTTTATTTCGTTCACTGCTTTACAGGCCCAAAGAAAATCCCACCAACACCTTGCCACAGCTGCACACCTGACACTTGAGTCTCTTTTCCCCCCTAGTTCTGCACTGAAAATGAGGAATTTGCAACATTAAAAATGAAAAGTCTTAATCTATTGGGAAATCCTTTGATCCATAAAATAAAAAAGGGGTTTTTTTCTTTTGCTCATCTGTGAGCTTTTGAAAAAGATTTAGTTCAGGTTAGCTGAAAAGACCTGAAGACAGGAGTTTGAAAATGTCACCCTAGGTGGAATTAATTACTTTTTAAGAAATGAGGGAAGTGTCATTATAACACATTGCCATCAATTTGTTTTTATGGCAAAACTTCAGAATTTTTTCCTCTATAGGGGGATAAAGGCAAAAGCATGTGCTGCTGGTGATAGCACACCCTTTGGCAACATTAGGATTGCTCCCCAGGCTTCCATCCCAGCTTCAGTTTCAAAAAGACAATTGATTATTCTTCCATATCTGTCTATACACTCGTATATTTGTTTATATAGCCCTTACCTGCGTACTTTTCAAAAGTTAAAGTTCTGTAAGTGCAGATCCCTATTTAATCCCTAACTATCCATTGGAAGTTCAGAAGGAGGGATAGACTGCTGTTCTCCATAAGGCTGGAACAACTTGCTTTCCATTTTTACCTTCATTTTTAAGTAAAAACTCCAGTTATAGATTTACAGGCATGAAGAGGAATGAATGGCAAACAGTCCAGATGCTTCGAGCATCACAGGTACTGAGTACAAAGAAAAGTTGGAAATAATAAATAGAGTGCCAAAAGAAAGGATGGGGATGGGTGGGGGGTGGAGGAAATGCTGAAGAGCATTAAGGTCTGGAGTGATATCACATAAAGATGTAACAACAACTTTGTGTGCCTGGCCCCTAAGAGAGTACTTAAAAATATTAATAAAAAATAGGATAGGAATTGTCTAGCATTTAAATTCTTTAACTGAGACACAAAAGCACGGGCAAAACACAAATCAAAGTGTAACTTCTTGCCTTCGACACGATACAATAAGAGCCAGTATGTTGTTATGTAGTACATCATAAATGTCTAGGGATAAACACAGGAGACCAAAAGAAGAAAGGATGGATCATTTTTATTTTACTTCTTTTTTGTTGTCTGTTTTACTATTTCGGTTATGTTTTTCTCTATAAAAATGATTATTATTCTCCCTGTACCACCACTATTGATGTGAAATTATTGCGTAAGTGAAGACTAAGGGATTCATTTCAGCAGCGGCAGCCTTGTTCCTTGTAGGTGCTGTCGAGGCTGGTGAGTGGGGAGTCTTCACACCAGTGCCGAGTGTGACAACAAATATATGTGAAATATTGCAGATAATTTATCTGCAAACAGACCAATGTGACTTTCCCTCTCAGGCCCCCAAAATGTAATAACCAACTGTGTTCAGCTTCATTCAAAATATTGCATCTTTTTCCCTCACGCATGGGTGGGCACTTCATGATGCTAAATAGGACATTTTGACTGCTCGTATCTGTACCTTGGGGCCTACCAGATCTGAGGGCAAAGTAGTGCCTGCTCATTTGACTTGCACAGCTGCAAAGCTTCCAGCACAAATGCTGCCCGAGCGCTTCTGCACGGGGGTAGATGTGATGGCACATTGCTCAGCTGAAGAGGAAAAATAAAGAGACAATGAACTCCCAGGCTTTAGTGGAATGAGCCGCCCTCCCCAAGCCTGTGAGATTAAAGCAGTGGATTTTCAAGTAGTTCTTCAGAGTGACTAATTTATATGGATATCAAGGATTCAGTTGGAGAATTAAAAAAAGTAGCTAGGGGAAAATATGATGCTCTCTAAGTCCCAGTGGTATGCCACATTCATTTTACTAGAGAGTTTATTCTTTAGTACTTTCATGGATTGACATGAGGGAGGAATTCGCATGTCAGGACAGATAAAATCTCCCTCCTGCCAAAGGAGTCTATTCAGACATGCATGTTAGTAGGTTGATAACTTATTCTGTATTGCAGAGGACTCAAAGATAGACATTTCTCCTTTTATCTCCATCTCTGCACTCCCTGCATACTAAAGATACGGAGAAACAGCAAGATACATCTTAACTAGCCCTCTCAGAGAGGAGAGACTTTTTCTAGTCCATGCCAAGAGATGCAAACTTAAAGAAATAAGGTGTCACACAGACTAATAGCAAATACATTAGCACTGTTTATGCGCATAATTTGAGCCCAGTGTGAATAGTGTTTAAAAGATACAAACCTGGACTTTGTGCTTGTTTGTGGTTGATTCTTTTTATTTTTTATTTTTTTTGCCAAGAAAAAGCACAGTATTTCAACTTTCTCGTTTCATTTTACTCTGCATAAAGCATGCGGAATAGGTTGAGAAAATGGGGAACAAGTGAAACATGTTGAAGAATCCGTGTTTGGTATATTTTCCAACTTCTGATGAAACCTTAGTGTTTGTCTGGAAGATAATCCCGTTCTCCTAATGACTGAGGAGTTGAGATAAACTTATTCCTTGACCAGAACCATAGAAGTATATTTCCTCTTCAAAACAGATTTAAAATTCAGGAATGTTTTCTCTTATGCTTA